AATGCCTATATTGTGTAACTTAATTGTTTTGTTAGAGCAACAAATATTTGTTCATAATTCTATGAAAATTTATCTTAACTAGGTTCAATAGCTTAATTTTCCTCCAGCATTAGTATTATAGAGGGTACTTTAGCAAAAATAAAAATTCTTGAATTGTTTTTTATAGTAATTTTAGAATTTCTATATAAAATTCTCAGATTCATTTAATTTCTTTGAAGTTGAAATAACTATTCTAGAATAAAGTGCTTTTAATTCATATAGATGTTATAAATAAAATGAATTAGTAGATAAGTTCATTATTGAAATTTTTTAATTACAAAAACAATGCAGCATTAGCTTAGTATAGAAGTAAAATTTTTTGGAATACCAAATCTAATCATTATTAGCGGCATAAATACTTGCTATTTTTTATATTATAGATATATGAAATTTTGATATAAGCATATAATTTATGATGACAATATGTAAATCAATTTGTAATTCTATTCTGTTCTTTATTATTACTATTTTAATTAATTATCTAATTTAACTTAGAATATAGTTATAAATATATGTTATAAATTCTTCGAAATCTATGTTGATACTCAAATATTTTACCAATAATGCAATTCTATCCTTTTTGGTTTTTGTTGTTAAATGAAAATACATTATATCATACCAATAAAAGTTTCATAAAATAATTATAAAAATAAATTGTATCATTGATGAACTGAAAAGTCTTTCTTATAACTGAAAGCAATCTTTAGGCAAGCATGATGAAATAATGTTAAAATAATAAAGAAAATCATAAAATAAAGTTGAGAACTTAAACTATAAAAAAATAAGTGTTAATAATAAATTCTCAAATTTAAAAAAGATTTGAGGAATGTTTGTGATTTCAGAAAAAGATTATTAATCAATCAAATAGCAAAAAAATATAGTTGTGAATCTTTTTAAATATTGAATATTCACTGATTCAATTTCTTTTTGCAGAATTCTAGTTTAATAGGTTAGGAATACCATTTTAGTTTTTTGAATATTGATTATTTGGATCAATCTTTAATGATTTTTCATAACATATCAGTGCTTCTTTGTATTTCTATTAATCTCTTAAACAATCTCCTACAATAATAGGATAATAAATACCTTTACAGTTGAGAGAAAATGTATCCTGAGGGTTGATGCAAAGTGCTTAATCTAGCAGTTATAAAGATTGAATATATTCCTTCAATAATCTTAAACATTCACCTATAAATATAATAATGATTCAATCTACCTTTCTCGTTTAAGGAATAGACATGTTTAGGATCAATAGCTAATGCTTTGTCCACCCAAGTGATTGCATCCTCATATTTATTTTACTTTCTTAGACACTAACCTATTAATACAATTATGATTTAATCTACCTTTCTCATATAAAGAATTAACATCCTTAGGATCAATAGCTACTTAGATTATTCTCTTTTTACAATAATTTCTAATTCCTCACAAAAAGTTTAAACCATCATAACATTTTTGGAATTTTTTTATCTATATGCTAAAATACAGTCAGTGGATTTTACGATAAAAAAAGAGAAAATTGCTGTGAATAATACTATTGTTTGGAGATGATGTGCACACTAAAGAACTAAATATAATCATGTATCTACAAAATCTTCGGATTAAAATACTATAATCAAGCAAAGAATTGCATTACGTATATGTTGTATAATTATATATCGCAGCACAAAGGTTCTTATATTATATAAAAAAATAGGAATAGTTATATTTATATTTAACGTACTTCTCTAAACAAATTGGTTCTATTTTATAGATTAATTAACACTATTATTACTAATTAACCGTATAGCAACAACTCTACTATATAAGCTTCTTATGTCAGATTCATTTTGCAAATACCCTCAAACACCTTAAATAAGTTGTAAACTTCTTTTTCTTTAGTGAAATGATAGGATCTGCATAGGAGCATTCTTGATAAAGGCAGATTTTACCAACTATATACAATATAGAACTTCTCCTAAAGTAGAACTCAGTAAGAAATTAAGGCACCCAAATGGGTTAGACACATAGTATAAATTCACAATAGTTAAAAGGAAATTGAAAGTCTTCATGGGGATTTGAGGAATTAGTACACCTTAAATAATGGTGAGAATTAAAAATTCTAATAGAAAAATAGAAGATATTTATAGTTAGTATCTATCTAGAAATTCAAAAATTCAAGAAGAAAAAGAATTATTATATTAAAGAGGTATTCCTAGAATTATTTTAGATATTCATTATTCTTAATGATCATATTTAATCATATGAAGAGGTAATTAATTTTTAGATACAATTTTTATAGTTCATCATTTAATTATATAAAATAAAAGCGATCAATCAATTTTCCTACTTATTATTTTTCACATTTATGTAACTCTGAATATTACTTCGATTTTATGTTATTGGGTGCTTCTATTTTTCCAATTTAGCTAATGCTACTCATTCACATCATATGATAAACCAAACTTCCTTTTAATTTGAAGAAGTCTCTATTATAATTGAAAAGACAACCTCTCAGTTTAATATTCCACACAATCTAGAAGCTTTCTTGGAGAAGTTGGTGCTTATGATAATTCAATTTTCAATAAGTGAAGACAATCAAATTCAAATCAGTAGCGAAATCGTATTGAGACAATGTCATTAGAAGCTCTTTAGCTCATGGATGAGCAAAAATATATCGTTGTTTCAAAAGGAGCTTAGGTGGAGGCAAATAAGATTAATACATGACGAGAATTTCAGATGTACAATTATTACAAAGTTGCAGTATGCATTGATGCATAAACGCAATATTTTTTCATCAAGTAAATAAGATTGGATTGGTGATCTAATAAATTTAACTAGAGTAAATGATTAGTGTTGATAATAGCANATTCTAGAATAAAGTGCTTTTAATTCATATAGATGTTATAAATAAAATGAATTAGTAGATAAGTTCATTATTGAAATTTTTTAATTACAAAAACAATGCAGCATTAGCTTAGTATAGAAGTAAAATTTTTTGGAATACCAAATCTAATCATTATTAGCGGCATAAATACTTGCTATTTTTTATATTATAGATATATGAAATTTTGATATAAGCATATAATTTATGATGACAATATGTAAATCAATTTGTAATTCTATTCTGTTCTTTATTATTACTATTTTAATTAATTATCTAATTTAACTTAGAATATAGTTATAAATATATGTTATAAATTCTTCGAAATCTATGTTGATACTCAAATATTTTACCAATAATGCAATTCTATCCTTTTTGGTTTTTGTTGTTAAATGAAAATACATTATATCATACCAATAAAAGTTTCATAAAATAATTATAAAAATAAATTGTATCATTGATGAACTGAAAAGTCTTTCTTATAACTGAAAGCAATCTTTAGGCAAGCATGATGAAATAATGTTAAAATAATAAAGAAAATCATAAAATAAAGTTGAGAACTTAAACTATAAAAAAATAAGTGTTAATAATAAATTCTCAAATTTAAAAAAGATTTGAGGAATGTTTGTGATTTCAGAAAAAGATTATTAATCAATCAAATAGCAAAAAAATATAGTTGTGAATCTTTTTAAATATTGAATATTCACTGATTCAATTTCTTTTAGCAGAATTCTAGTTTAATAGGTTAGGAATACCATTTTAGTTTTTTGAATATTGATTATTTGGATCAATCTTTAATGATTTTTCATAACATATCAGTGCTTCTTTGTATTTCTATTAATCTCTTAAACAATCTCCTACAATAATAGGATAATAAATACCTTTACAGTTGAGAGAAAATGTATCCTGAGGGTTGATGCAAAGTGCTTAATCTAGCAGTTATAAAGATTGAATATATTCCTTCAATAATCTTAAACATTCACCTATAAATATAATAATGATTCAATCTACCTTTCTCGTTTAAGGAATAGACATGTTTAGGATCAATAGCTAATGCTTTGTCCACCCAAGTGATTGCATCCTCATATTTATTTTACTTTCTTAGACACTAACCTATTAATACAATTATGATTTAATCTACCTTTCTCATATAAAGAATTAACATCCTTAGGATCAATAGCTAATAATTTGTCCATCCAAGTTATTGCATCCTCATATTTATTTAGCAATCTTAAACAATAACCTATTAATATTATTTTGATTCAATCTACCTTTCTCAAATAAGGAATTAACATCCTTAGGGTCAATAGCTAATGCTTTGTCCACCCAACTGATTGCATCCTCATATTTATTTAACAATCTTAAACACACTCCTATTAATAGAATTATGATTCAATCTACCTTTCTCATATAAGGAATTAACATCCTTAGGATCAATAGCTAATGCTTTGTCCACCTAAGTGATTGCATCCTCATATTTATTTAAAAATCTTAAACACAAACCTATAAATATAATAATGATTCAACCTACCTTTCTCGTTTAAGGAATAGACATGTTTAGGATTTATAGCGAATGCTTTGTCTATCCAACTGATTGCATTCTCATATTTATTTAAAAATCTTAAACACACTCCTATTAATAGAATTATGAATTCAATCTACCTTTCTCATATAAGGAATTAACATCCTCAGGTTCAATAGCTAATGCTTTGTCCACCCAACTGATTGCATCCTCATATTTATTTAACAATCTTAAACACACTCCTCTTAATAGAATTATGATTCAATCTACCTTTCTCATATAAGGAATTAACATCCTTAGGATCAATAGCTAATGCTATGTCCCCCCAAGTGATTGCATCCTCATATTTATTTAAAAATCTTAATAACTAACCTATTAATATAATTATGATCAATCTACCTTTTTCACGTAAGGAATTGATGTGATTAGGGTCAATAATTAATGCTTTGTCCACCCAACTGATTGCATCCTCATATTTATTTAACAATCTTAAACACACTCCTATTAATAGAATTATGATTCAATCTACCTTTCTCATATAAGGAATTAACATCATTAGGATCAATAGCTAATGCTTTGTCCACACAAGTGATTGCATCTTCATAATTATTTAACAATCTTAAACACTAACCTATTATTTAACTAGTATTGTTACCTTTACACCAGAAGGATAAATGGTTATCTGGATTTTATTATATTGAAATATTAAGTATGTCTATTGCCTCAGCATATTTATCATTCCAATATAAGTCATAACCTAAGGTTTGTAATAAAATGATTACCTTTATCAAATAACTCTTTAGATAATGTTATAGAATCATCATCAATATATTAATAATTAAATGATGATAAATTTAATTATTGATATATGCTATTCAATACATTAGTTAATTTCTTAGTCCAATCTGAAATGGTTGTTGTAATAGATTATTTGTATTCCATTAATTTGAGGGTAGAATTCAAATAATCATTTATTTACAACGATTTCAATTATAGGAATCTTTCTTTTAATAAAGAATATTTTTATCTGATTCCCATTTTTAACAATGTAAATGATTGATTCAGACTGTCTAGATAGGTATTAAGTTCATCAATCAAATTATCACATTCTTAATTTTTACTTTCAATGAATCCAATCAAGGTATTACTTTTTTCAACATCATCAAAATGATCTTGATGAATTCTTGCCTTCTTCATACATGTAAAACAATTTAATCTGACTTCTGTACAAAACTAATTATAACAAATCGTGTCTATTTCATCCTAATGGTCATCATGTTAACATTTTATTTTTTAATTCATTTACTAAATCCTTTTTTAATAAAATTATATTTAATATATATTCATTCATTCATTCA